CTGAAAATCACCATGAATAATGAATCGATTACAAGTTCTTCTACGTTCCTGACTATCAAAAAGTTATTTTTAATACTTACATTACGAGAGGATCTTACAAAGAATGGTTTTCAAAAATTAATTAGTGTCAAGAAAATTAAAACTGTTATACTGACGTGCAGACTCTAAATTCAAACAGCAGTGAGAGCATAAAAATGTCATGAATTATAAACTTACTTTTCGTATGGATCACTCAACAACAGTAGAACAGTATCAATCAGAATATTTTCAATTGAGGAAGCAAGACTTGTAACACAATGTCTGTAGATATCATGCAAAAGAACAATCAAAGCAAACCGAACACGATGATCCTGATGTCGGACGAGTCTAGAACACATCCGTCTCAGCTAAAATTAGTTGAAAAGTCAATACTTCATGACAATAATAAATTCAAAAAGCAATTATTAATAAATCCAAACAGTAATTATTGGTAACTTAAGATTTTAATTTTGTGAAGCTTCAAATATTGCAAATTCCTTGGTAATAAGGTCAGAAACACAAAGAATTCTACAGTTAAGCTTCGACAAAACAACCATTTCGAGACGTTAAAAGATTAAGTGGAGACAATCCGAACTGTATGGTACTTACAGTCAGTTTGTACTAGATATTTAAAGCAACTCTAAGTCAGAATGTAAATGGAAGTAAGAATGACAAAACTGATGTAATTCCATGGTAGGTTTGTTCAGTGAGAAGAGTATCGCATTAGGTTATTATTCATATCAGTGTACACAATGCAGTGTTCATATCAATGTAACACAATGCAGTTTTTTAGTTCCTACAATCAAGGATAAAGCAGTTGCGTTAAGCAAAAAAAATCTGCATAAATTGAATTGACTGTATTTAGGCCTCTCGTGACAAATAAATATATATAACAAAGTGCACTCGTTTTTAAATTAGATTGCAAAGATGTGTCTTACCAGAAATTTCAAATTCTCGTCCCAATCTTTAATATAAGCAACTTTCTTCTTAAAAACAGCTTCGGAATTTCCTGGATTGCTTCCAACAGTTGCTGGATTTTCCAATTTTCCCTGCTTCTGAACAGCAGAATCGTTCAAGCAAGTTGACACAATACAGCCAAAAATCTGGAATTATTAATGCATCAGTTGAGGACAATGGGTAGTTTTGTTACTATATTGACTGGGCTTAATGGATTCTCTTTTTTCTTTTGCAAGTCTTACTTGCTACCTTCGTTTAAATTTATTTCCAAATTCCAAAGCATATTTGCACCAAAGAATTATAAACGATACTTCGTCTTACGCTGAAAATGACAGGAAATGATATGGTAAACGTCCCATCCTACATTTTACATTCCATAGTCAAAGTTTCAAACAAGCATGCAATTCCATTTTTTTTATCAATGACAGATGGAAGGAAAGATGAAACTTGAAGCACCAAACAGACTTGGAACCATAAATTTTCTTAGTAATATAGACAAAACAATTTTCCGTTAATTTTCAAATCCTTACAAATAAATCTAATAATATTTGCAATACCTTCAGTGCCATATCTACGACTGCCGTATTCAGGTCCGCACAAGCAAGTTTAGTCATACGACAACAAATCCCGGGAAGAAACGATGTCATTGTTTTCACCGATTCATCCCACGGTTTTACAAGTTCAAATAATGTGTTTCCCAAGGAAAGCCTGAAAAAAAGTGTTCTATGAAATTTTATCTGGTATTCTCTCTTCCCTAAATTCTATGGAATGCTAAATCTACTGTCCAAAAACAAATATTTTCCTTTCTTCCTTATAAGTTTAGCTCTTTAACAATTCACTTTAAAATCTCAGATCTGGAAATTTTAGCATAAAACAGAAGAAGTTACCTGATCAGGACGTCGACTTTCTGTGAACAAAACTTGGACATGAAAAATGTTATCATAAATGCAAGTTCTCCCTGATGTTCCTTAGAGAACAAATCTGAAGCATCATTATTTTGGCATTACTCCTTTGCTGACTGCTTTATTGGTCAATACAATTATGAACAAAATGGAATCTAAAATCTAACTAAAAACTAAATTAAATCACACACCTTTCCTATTCGATGCATTGGAAAGCATAAATCGAACAAAGTTTGCCTCAAATGTTGCAATTCTTTCCAAGTCAACCGCATTACTGATTTTGGTATCACCAACTATAAGACATCTACTATTGATGGACCACAAAAATAGACATAATTGTTCTACATCCTGAAAAGTTCAAAAACTTACAGCAATGTCCAATAAGTTTCAATACCATTGTCTCAATGCAAGAAGGAAATATTCGCAATATGAGGAGCTGGCGATATTTCGCAAAAGAATATATGACATGTAGCGTTCCATCAACACTAATAACTCCGAAGAAAACATTGGGAAAGAACAAAGCTTTCATTCCCAATATTAAGTGTCAATTTGAGAAAAAATGAATTGTTTTCCTTACATCCTTAATTACCAGTCGTCAAAAATACTATCAGAAATGGCAAGAATTATCAAGTTACTAATTTTCTCGCTTTTTCATTACCCTTTTTCTGAAATTGATAAGTCATCCAAGCTTTTTGCTAGCTTGCAAATCTTCTAGATAAACGTTTAATTTTTCCGGAAGATTAAATTCTAAGTCTTTCATTACAAATGAAACATTTTGAATCGATTACTTACTTCAGATTTTAAATTTTCAAAAATATGGTTGATTATCTGCAAAGAGAAATCAAAGGCATGTCGATTAAATTCATCCTCATTTTTCATTGATTCTTTTAAAATGGTGAACGCTGTACCAAAGATGATACGGTACAGCTTGATATGTTCTCCTTTTTGGAACCAATCTGCCTTTAGCTCGTCTAAAACTTTCAGAAGTTCTTAAAAAGGACAAAAGTCTTTCAAAGTTGATTGTTCAAAAAAGAAAAATGAACAAAACAAGACAAATAAAGTAATAGCTATGGTGATTCTCCATCTCAGTACAACAGTTTACTACACAGAAATGTCAGGTCCTTTCCGATGAACAAATTAGCTTCATCTCTCAAGTTATTAATATTCACATGCTGACAGAAACTGCTTTTTAACTATAGCTTCAATAAATTATCATACACAGAAGCAAAACCTACGCTTAACAAACGTTGAAAACTCAATGACAGATCCCGGCGTGATGACACCTTCCGAGCATTCCTCGATAATTCTCTTGCATATCGATTGTGCAGTTATTCTTATATCCCGAAGGTAATTATCACTTTCAACTCCTCCCATTGTTTGCAGGAAGATTTCACTTAACAACGAAGGTTTCACTTGTCAGGTAATTCTGATATTTCGATATAAAGGTAAAAAACAATTTTATATTCCCTATACGTACCGAATTATACAATTAAGACAATTTTGAATTTTACAAGCACAGAAATTTATCTATTTCTGATATTCCTTCTGCTACTACTCATGTGAATCACCGTTGAATCAACAAAATTGTTACAACAACACACACTTTTCAAATCCACAACGAAAACCTGATTCAATTTAAAAAACTACTACGCCACCTGGACCAGAATTGCATGCCCCTGTAGCATGCAACTTTTAACGAAACCACATGTTTTCAGATTGAGGTTTTTCCTTACTAGTTTTTATATGTCCAGTTAAATTTGATGGTTCAAATGGCCTTAAATGTTGTTAGGGGATTTCTAATGAAACGGTATCGACAGGAAAAGAATTGCGTTAAATGTAGATTCTTCAGTATTTGACGCGGTTGAATAAATGAATGACAGTTAACGCATTCAGATCAGTTTCAATATCGTGAATTTCACTTACTCTTTTTAAATTTAATTCATCCTTTCCAGTCTTACCCTTTGTATTTCAAAATTCTTACGAAAGAAGAGGCTGAATTGTCTCTTCTTAATTGTGATTATTTATCGACTTTATGCTGTTTTGAATGTCGGTCTTGTGGATAACGGAAATAAAAGTTTTCTTTTAACATTCTTTCTGTTTACTACTCGCTGATTCAACTACAGATGTTCTCTATGTGAATACTGTCTAGGAAGAAAATGGCATGACGATCTATCGGAAAACGAAGTGGTATGATTTTATTCGATTGCATTTTCAGCTGATGCGTTAGTGATTCTGCCGATGATGGATTTAACTAGAAGTTCGAGTATTACCAGAAACTTGAAATTTAACCAGCGTAAGGTCAATACAGCACTAGCTATTTACTTTTTATAATTATCACTATTTATTTTTTTACTATCATTTTTTACTATCAGCTATTTACTATCACTTTTTATTCATATTCTTTTTATGGCTTAAACTTATAGATGGATTTCCTTCATATATTTCCAAATGTATTTTCATGCTGTCAAAGTAATTCACAGCAGTAGAAGTGGACAGAAAAGAAAAATAACGAACACACATACACTTGGAAGGGTTGTTTTTTTATAATACCTTGGTTGCAATGCCGGCGTAGCATCCATATTATCAGCAATCAACACCTGCTGTTGAACATTTCTTCCAGCTGGCAGCAAGTATTCATCATCCAATCGCTGAAGACAATGAGAATCGACGTGCAAATGCCTCTTCCTTTCTGCCCTTTTCATACAAAATTGTTTTTTAATTTTGCTTTTCTCCCCAAACAGTCTTTTGGAAACATTTAATCAAAATCCAATCGCGATTTGCGACTTTATCTTTTTACAGTCATTCTCTGTGCAACAATGAGCTTGTTACAAAAGTTCCTAGAAATTTAGGCTTTCTTGAATTTCTCCCTGTACCATTCTGATTGCGTTTTACATAAGGAAGATGGACTAGATACTGCTGGGGCAGATTGGGTTCGTTCTTGAACATTCCTGAAATTGGGCAGTCTTTTCATATGTTGGTCTGCTGAAGACAACTAGTTTGGATTGTTGGTAGTTCAAACGATGATAGACTGGGATTATTTCACTTTTGATCTTTCGTTTCTTTTTCGGAAGATGCGTTCCTTACCATGAATACGATCAGTTTTGATGATTTCGTTGGAACGTACAATCTTCAAATCGAATAGTTCAGTAGTTCAGCTAAACTTTTCCAACTAATTATATGAAAAAAATTAATTTTTAAGAAATTCTACAAATTAATTTTTTTTATTCAGTGTTGAACTAGTAATCACTTCACGCCTTAGGAATGCGAATCATACTATTGTGCTGTATTCGTCTACTCGGTAAACTTCGTTGATAAGGTGGTTACTGGTTTTTCTGGTTATTCAGTGAATGAAGGACTCCTCCATTTCTTCCCTCGCGTTATCTTTTGAATCGATTCCTTATTTTATTTCTTCTTTTTCCTTCGAAAAATTAAAGTCATCCATTTCAATGTTGCAAAAATTGTTCCCTTCATATGTGATATTGTTTGATTGCAGTGATTGACCCTTTTAAATAATATCTTCAGCGGTAGGTCAAGATCGGTTTTACAATGCAACGCTTTGGTGCTATATTGTGAAATTATAAAATTGGTCTTGACCTAACGCTGAGGAAATTTTATTTCATAATCATTTATCAGTTTAACCCGTCCTGGTATAATATCTTCTTTTTTCCTGCTCTCTCCACAATTTCTTTACCGTTACTTCTGGTGGTTATTTCCGATTTTTTTCTGGAAACAGTATTATGTTGGGGAAAAATATTTTTCCCATGAAATTACTGTATTTTTCTTCTCATATGCAGAAATAATTAAGACTTTATAATGGTGTAATTTTCAGCTTACGATCAGGAAGTTGTAAGAACTGTACAGATACATTATTTTTGAAATGAAACGTATATATGGATTGCAAGCAATCTCCAGCTGAGGAATCTTGGTGAAATGTGTCCCAGTATTAACCGTCAAGGTAATTTACATTTATTGTTGTGTCTTTTTTTGAGTTTCTGAATAAACATTTTATTGCTTGGGACTATTTTTTTAAAAAAAGACTTTTTTTCCATTCAGATGGCTAACCAATCGCGACACCCCCAAAATTAAATATTTCAGTTCTTAATTTCTTTTTCTTCATTTCTGTGCCTATCTTTCTTATTTTTGGTGTCTATCTGAATGTCTCAATGAGTGCTAATTTGTCAAAACATGTATGAAATATGATGTGAGATTTATTACTCCTAACAGGCAGTAATTTTATTACTGTTCATGAATTGAACTAAGCGCTCTTTTCCTTCATTTCATTCAAGATCCATAATGATCGAGTAAATTATGCCGGAAAACTTTTCTTTGTTTCGAGCTCTCGATGTGTATTTAGTCATATCATCATCTTATTAATTGAGCCATATTAATTTCGATTTATATTCTGAATTTTTGGAGATACAATCCGCTTTACAGCACCCGTAATCGGGAAATGTGTCATTTGTGGTGAGGATTCAACGGGGAAGCATTATGGTGTTATTGCTTGTCTCGGTTGTAAAACGTTTTTTAGAAGGTTTGAATTGTTTTTCATTTTGTTTTTATAGTTTTTTTCACTGTCGTTAATCTGTTGGGGAGATATTAGGTTGACACAACGATTTTTAGATTGTTGTTTTTTTGTTGGAATACAGTCTAAATAGGTAATTATATATCACTTTAATGCTCATATTGTGTTTTGTGTTTTTTGATCTCCAGCACTTGCTTTCACTTTATATTCATTTCGGAGTAAGGAAATAACATTAGATAAAGGTAAATTTGAGATTTTTTTGAGTTAAAATTAGTTCTTAAATAGCAGAGGTAACTTACAATAGCTTATTTGATCCGGGAATTACTATCAAGCATAATGTAGTCGTGATTCGGAAAGTTTTATGGGCGAGACTGGAACTTTGGAGACAGAAAATGGCCGATTATCGAAAGTTAAAAATGTTCGATTGAGAGCAAACACTGAAGCCGATCATTCTGTAATTGCAGAAGAAATTATTGAAGAGCTTCAAGTCAATTATTCTATGGCTGTTCGACATTTCAAGCTTATTAAAAAGGTGAAAAAGCTTAAGTGGGTACCTTATAAGCTGGCGATGATTAAAAAATGATGATTTCGAACTTCTTGTTCTAACAAGGGATCGTTTTTTGATTGAATTGTGTGCGACAATCGGTGCCGATGATGATAGTGTCTGGACAGAGAAACTTCAGAGTATTTTCCAAAACCCGACTGCACCAGAAAACTGTCCTGTTCTCTTGCAGCATTATGCCTGCTTCCCCTTGAATCCAGCTTTCTGAATTTCGCTGAAACCATGGCATCTAAGAAATATGCTAAAGAAATGCAGCAAAACATCTGCAGTCGACATTGATCATTATGAAATTTTACCTTATCTGTCATCACCATTTTTGCCCAACTGATCACAACTTCGACATGGAAAAATACTTATATAACAGCATGATGTAAAAAATGTTTTCCAAATTTTTGTCCAATTCTAATGCATTAATACGTTTTTATATTACAAGGACAAACATCTTATTTTTTGTTAGGTGATTGGTAAAAGTGTGTTTAAGTCCATTTTTGATCGTTATGATAATTTCATAATTTATGGTTTCAAACCACTGTTGCTATGTATCAACCAAATATTTCAGACTTTTCTTTTTTGGTTCTAAACCCTGGAGCGATATACTAAATTCATAATTCGTATGTCAACGCAAACAAACAATGAAGTAAGGGCATGATGAGACTTAGGAATCATGTCGTCAGTGGTATTTTTTGGAATTTATTATTAAATCTGTTCATGTCATATGCTATTTATATATCAGAGCAGTGGTTCATCGTCAGGATATTAAGTGCAAAAGGTCTGAATGTTGTGAAGTTGATAAAGAAACCAGAAAAGCATGCAGGGCTTGTCGCTATAAGAAGTGTCTTAAAATGGGGATGACCAAAGAAGGTTTTATTTTCTAAAATTTCAATGTGTCGAATTCAAATTTCTGTGTATCCCATTTTATACTTCTAGAATTCTATACCTTCAGATTTTCTCTCGTGTGCAAATTCAATTTCCCTAGTTACTGAGCTAGATTGAACTGTCACCCGCAGATTTTTTCGATATTGTTGTGGAATATCTTCTTCAATGGATTGTATGCTTTGTAATGATGTCCTGAGGATTATTTACAGCGTTGCAGCCACGTCGAGATTTGATTGGTTGTCGTAGGTATCGGCAACCAGACTATCAGCAAAACTTCATTGCTTCGAGCTCAGTAACTCATAACCTTCAATCGCCACCAGTAGATATGCGATTGCTTGAGCTCATTTCGGAGCTTACTTTTGTCGATAAAGAAATTCGAGAGCGGAAATTTTGTTTGATGCGAGCAAAAAATGAAGCAAGAAGGTTGGCACAAATGGTGAAACAAAACAATCAGCAAGTAGGTTTTGTTGATTTTTCTTTGAATCTTCTATATATGAAGTAATCTAATTAATTTCCTTATTTATCCCTTATTCGTCTGCAGTCGTCAACGGACTGTGAATTCTCAGGGTGTTAACCACTTGAAAACAAACTATATATGTCGATATGTGTAGTTCCAGGTGTTAAGACTCGTTTTATATTCTTTACGTTTTATATTCTTTACGCAAGAATGTAAAACGACTTTCATTTTATGCGCCTTCATCCACAAATAAGGCAACTGGGAATGGAGCCACCATCAAAATGGTGGGACCAGTTTAATGTAAATGCAAGAAAAGAGGTAAGCAGTGTAAGCTAGCGTTGAGAAATGTAAAGAAATCCAATCATAATTTAAATCTTCAGTTTGGGACACTGATATTTTATATAACTCATAATACTTTCTTCTCGAAGCAGTTATTGAAAAAGCTTTGAAATGTTAACAACGGAATTTTTGAAAATTTTTACGAATTTTTTTCATACAGGTTATAAGCAGATTTATGATTATGGCTACTGATATAGCCAGTGTAACACATACGGAATTGTTGTTGATGTTGGAATGGGCTAAAACAGTGCCGTGCTTTTCCAAACTTCCTTTTGCAGACAAGTTATCTCTTTTAAAAAAGGTATATATATATATATATATATTTAGTAACCTATTTCTTTACTTGCCCTACCTGGAGTAAAAATTGATTTCTTCTTCAATCTTGAATATAATCATATTATAATTATTCACCAAAAAAATATTTCGAAATTTTGCAAGCAAGTCCCTAAATTTTCCAGTTTCGCTGTTCATTATCTTATTTTGGAATTCGGCTATTACACTGCTCAGCTAGGTATAGAAGATGTTTGGTTGATATCAAATGGTACCTGTATGCCACGGAATGTTGATAAATTACCTCAGGACATGAAGGCAAGTTTTCATGTTTTAATCGACAAGTGTAAAGTGACGGCTAAAAGCATAAGTATATTATTATGACTATCTAAGTATGTCTTTGCCTTCATTTTACTTCTTCTCTCATGATTGATTTATGTTTCACGAACAGTTATGTATTCTTTCTTCATCGAGCCTCTGTCTTCTTCGGCATGCCTCACATTTTAGGAATGCTTATTTCGCTTTTTGTTGACACTTCACTGCAGTCCTTAGTGTTTTATAACTTTTTCAGCGCGACGGATTGCATTTATCAAGGTCATAATATTGAACCATATTCAAGCTTATTTTAGAAAATATTCTAAGACTTATCTGTTTCTTATTAATCGATTTTTTGTTTGTTGCACTTCACGTATTCCAACTGTTTAGGAATCAATTCCAGCGGATCGAAAATGGCGCCAAGAAAAACTTTACAAGCAGATGACTGATATATGTATCGACGAAGTTGCGGTGCCTTTAAGGAGGTTGAAGTTGATGCCTGAAGAACTTGTAACACTGAAAATTATCCTGCTTTTTCGATATGTCAGTCGCAGTCATGAAAGTACTTTTTCTTGTATCATTGTATGCGTTTATAATAACTCTGCTTTCATTTTTTTCTCAAATTGTTATCTTTAATTTGACTTTTGTTAAGGACAAAAGGACTAGTTGCTGAAAACTGCTTAACTTAGCGAAATGATGGCATGCACGGTTAGACCATCATACTTCTTCATATGACTATGAATTTCTGAGTAACGATTGTTTCAGATGTCACTATGTCTTGAAATATATACTTTGCGTTACACAATTATTGATTGGACCGCATCTGTTGTTTTTAATGCTGTTCTTTATTTAACGCTACATATTCTTTAGATGAAGAGTCAGAAATTTCGGAAGAATCAAGTGCCCGGATAATAGAATGTCGTGACCGAGTAATTGCTGCTTTGTTTGCCTTCTACCGGTTCATTGATTTTCCGAATTATGCAGGTTTTTTCTTTTTGTTTTTTCCTGGTAAAAATCAGGTATTCATGCTTATTCCTTCTAGTTTATCTACCAAACTCATAAATATTTGGGAAGTCCAGTTTTTAATATCTCTCACTAATTTCAAAATAATGAACTTCTACGTTATTATTTCATTCTTTCAGAACGTTTTGGGAATGTAATTTTGGCGATATCAGGAATAATATCAGCTGCATCGGCTACCATTGAAAGTTATCAAGTGATGCGCCTATTTAAAATTGTTGTCTTCGATCACATCTCTGAGCAGTTACTTTTTAACATTACACAAACATTGTGATATGAATATTATAGGTGCCTTTGTTAGTAAAAATTTTTAATGTTATTTTATCGTCAGTGATGTTCTGGTCTCAAAGCCTTGGCTTAAAAGTTCACCCCATAGTTATGATAATGGATTCGACATAAACGGTAATCATTAATAAAAGTTAACAACTGGAACTCGTAGTATTCATCCTCATACACATAAAAACATTTGTCAGCATTAAACATTCCTTTAAATAAACTGTATACAAATACAATAATTTATAATTGTCGCTATTTCTGAACGCTTGAACTATGCTTTTCCATTGTTTTTTGTCCTTGTTATATAAACCATTAAAATCTTTTTTTTTTATGAAGATCAAACAAATTATAATTCCAAAGCATTTAAGGATTAAAGAATAACTGTAAAGAATTCTTTTCGGAAGAGTAAAATAAAGGAATTTGATCAAAACAAATAGGATGAGAATTTAGATCTAATTTAACTATGGAATGGTATTACGAACACTTGACCAACTGATAGTTTCTAGGTATTTTCCAGTAGATAGTCATCAAGCTCTGAAATTCCTTAACAAAAAAACTCCATTAGCTAAGAAATATGATAGTCTGTTTGTGGCAAATGCTGCGCAAACATTTTTGAAACTTTCCCCGAAAAGTATGCGATTACAACAGGAAAGAACTGTCATTGATAGTGGCATTTGTCTTCCTTCCGTCTCCTTTGCTGGTGTATTTTTTTGATGGAAAGGTGGCGCCGCCAGTCTATATTTCTAGTTCAAAAGCAAAACGAGCCATCCAAAACATTTGTTACCGAACAGATCAGCTAGGAAAAATAACAAATCAAATTGAGATCTATTCGGCAAATATTCTTTGACAAAAAGTGTCCGCCTAGCGAGGACACGTGCTGCACGATGGAAACCGACTTTTCCCTGTAATCTGAATATTTACCGCACTTTTGCGACGAAACGGAACAGGATATTAGCATTCGTAATGGAATGAAGGAACTGCCCTATGATGAATGTATGATAAAACATAAGTGAATTATAATATATTGCAGTTTGATTTAAGCGAGATACACCCATAAATTTAAACCGCAAATGACGCAGATAAGGTCAGATATTGCTTTAATGAACGTTGATAGAAATAACCGCCGACAGGTCATTATCACTCCAAGCCAAACAATTTTTGAGAGAACTCGAGCACTCGGGCATCGTACTATTGAACCTTTCACCCTTTCGAATGTCCTTTTCTGTCATCGTTCGAATATTCAGTAACAAAAGCAGTAAAGATTTCTCTGACAGAATGAATAGTTTCACAATAGCCAGCAAAAACAAGTCCTAAAAACTTTTCGGGACCAACATATTATGTTAAAATATTTAGGCATTAAAGCAAGTGAAAATTTTTCATAAATTCAACAAATATAAATCACTGGAATAAAAACAAAACAGCATTCAATTTAAAGGAAAAGCAGAAAACAAAATTGCAATCAAACGTGCAATACACGTGTTCAGCATTTGTCTAACGTGGCTTCACGTTCTACGTGATTGAAAAACGAGCACTTGTTTCTGATATCTTCCTAATGTTAATCACTGAAACCAGTCTCACTTTATCGCTGATTTTCGTCGACAAACGAATTCATCCCTTTATCAATACCACTACCATATCAAACATGCTTAATGTCGCAGAATATAAAGATATTTTCATTCCGAATTTTCGCCAAAATTTCTCTTCCAGTTTTAGTCCAAAAGATCTCTGTCAAATATCCTTCCCCCTAGATCCTCCTAAACAGTATTTATGCTGTCCTTGGCCAGACTCTGTTTCATTGTTGTCCTCATCGTACAAACAAATGTCCATTCACTTCAGCTTCAGTCTACATCAAAAATGCAAATTGACCTGAACGGATATGGACAAGGGACGATAAATTGAGAAGTGATGACAGAGAGCATCTTCCTTTATCCATCCATCCATCCATCCATCCATCCTCCTCCTCTTCACAATGCCAACAGTATCAACAAGAAAAGTAGCCGTGTGTAGTGCGATCCCCAAATGAGCAACCCCTTGTCCACCCTATTATTCTTTTCCATCAATTTTCAATCGATATGGAGAAATTCATTTATATATCGATATCATTCCCGCTATATCGATATCATATACCAGTTAGGATGCTCAACTGTTCCTTTCAATAACTATTCATTGCATAACCATTGATGACCGGGTGAAGAAATATATCGGGTGTTTAACACGTTTTTAACGTCATACATCAATGTTACCCATATCATATATAATTAGCCCAGGTTAGATTTAGCTCTCTTAATGTGTTGAAAAACTTCAATTCGATTTTGAATTTTAATTTTCTGGAGAATTTTGTTTAAATCGATAATTGCAAGTGGAAACATGAATTTGTACTTGTTGAAGTGATGATCGAATTCGTTAACTGTTTTCTTATCTTTTGCGTCAATATTTCATGAAATCATCTGTTGCAATTCTTGTCCTTTCATCCCATCAAACATTTCGCTGTTTATTTTTCCAAAATGAATTTGGATTCAATTGAGCTTGAGCAATACTTGTTTGATTTATGAAAGTTCATCTGTTTAATGATACCTTCTTACTTAAGTGTACTGCTGACGTAATGAACGTGAAAATCCTTTCTGTTTCATCTTGAACATTATAGCGTTTATTTAATTTGGTTAAAAAAATGAGAACAACATCCGTCCAAGAACTATGCTATAAACAAAAGAAATTACAACTGACAAGTTTCCGAATCAATTTTTCTACAAGAATCTGATACTCAGTTTTTCAAGAAATAAATGGTATGAAATCTCGAAAGGTCCTTTATCATTCTTATCATCCCTTTCTCGAATACTATTTTCTCAATGCTTATCCATCTTATGATAAAAGTTTTTGAAGCATTTTAGAAATTATATCATTTAGTCGTTCCCTTTCGTCGATTACCTATTCTTTTGTGATACGTTTCACTGCTTCAGTGCAATACTTTTTTGCATCTTTTACCATCATTTTCTCACCATTAACAGCACCCACCACTACCATCATTACCATTATCATCATCATCATTATTATCATCATCATCATCATCAAGCACACAGATCTGTTAGCCTGAACAACCAATGAGCCATTTTGTACGTCCCAAATAAAAAAGGAAGAAAAAACAAACAGGTAGAAGGGATTTCTATACAGCAATCAGTGGTTGCTCCAAAGTCAAGGACGTCCTTTGAAATACTTCTACATTCATTTTTTATCTTTTTTTACTTCGCACCTTTCCAATTTTAAAAGGAGTTTAACTTTTCCGACGGGATAGGTAAATAAAACTTCAATTTGTTATTAATCTAAATGATCAGAACTTCCAAACAGAGGGAGGTGACAGTCGGGTGACATATGGGATGATGATCCGTTTGAAATTATGAGCAAAGCGATCCTTTTCAGCCTTTCAGGCCACTTCTCATTCATTTTCTCGAACTATTAAAACATCCAGAGTTTGACTTCAACTTATGTTTCTGTCTTCAATTGTATTACTCATTTGCACAGTACAAGGTGGCTATTAATTGACTACTTCGTGTGTTACGATACGTTTTGCGACATTTTCCATATCTTCAAAACTCTAATAGATCGTTAATCTCATAACATCCAAATCAACGATTTAATTACTATAATGGATTTATGAAAAAGTCTGTTTGGCAATGATTTTTACTGTAATGGATTTATGGAGAAGTCTGTTTGGCAATGATTTGACTGTTTCCAAAGTTCAATAGAGAGGTCAAGAATTGTATTCATGTTTGCTTCACTGTTTTTATATCATAAATGAATTTAAGCAGTCTTCGTCCAATTTGAAAGATTATCCAGTGGTAAGTTCTCTCTCCACACCTTATCATTTAACGATATCTCCAGGACCGGTGGTTTCCTTATGGTTTTATCGGTTAACTTCAATACAATAGTAAATGATGTGACAGTTTTTCAAGAATTTACTCAGTCCTCTACAGTTTACTACTTCAGGCATAACAACTGCTGTCGATTTTTGTTACTTCATGCCTTTTCGGCATTAACATCTTTCCCCCAACAGTTAACTCTTTATACAGCTGAGAGACTGAACTTTGACCCTTGCGGTAGTTATTCATAGACTTCACTACTTGCTTCGTTTACTTATTTTGATTATATAACCGAATGAAAGGTGATTTTTCAAATGATAAAAATTGAATGGTATGAAGGATTTGCCATTCTCAACCCGTTACAAATAAGCATACTTAAAATGCGGAAAAGGGAAGAGAGGACAGATGGACGACGAACGTAACAAACTTGTGTGATTGGTATCGATGACACTGCTGCTACCGCTACTGCTACTACTACTATTATTACTGCTGCTGCTACTACCACTACCACTACCACTACCACTACTACTGCTACTACTACTACTACTACTACTACTACTACAACTGTCCCCCACGGCATTGCTGTTGCTGTTATGTCTGCGGTGATGGTAATGAGGTTCGGGTCGTAATCTAATTGCAATCCTCATTTATGACCGATCCTCTCTCTCTTTCTTTCTCCATCTATTGCTCTCTCTCTCCCTCTCTTTCCTCTCCCTCTCATACATACTATTTTCTTTCAGACAGTTAGCTATTCGAATTACTAGGCATCTTTATATGTTATCTATTAAAATTATCCGGAAAGGAAACGTTTCTGTTCTCTCTCATCATTGGATCATCTAATTGTTCAATTTGGTGAGACATTTTAAAATGACAGTAATTTCTTTTAAGAATTCAAATACAAAGAGTTTCAAGCATATCGGTAAAAACCGTTAAAACATAATTCTTCAAAAATTCTCCAATTAAGCAAACAGAATGCATAATTGTGTGAATGTCGCATGAACACTTTCCCTTTCTCTTTTTCTCTTCTTCTCATTTTTTTCTATTTTCAATCAGTTGTTTTCCAGCTTGATTGCAACTGCAATCATTGTAGCTTGTCGCATATATGTCACATTCACACTTGTTGTACTACCTGGTGATAGCAATAAATGATAGTAGTTTTAATAATTACTCATATGCATATATTTTTCATATAGTTAAGGATATTATGGAACTGAATTCGTTTGGCGTTTGTTTAAACGAATATTTCCTAGATTTGATGATGGCCACGATTAAATTTGTTTAATTAATCAAATTAATTTGCTGGATAATTTTCGAGATATCCTAACAGATGTCTTTCATGCTCACCTCAATGCTTCCATCCCTTATAATTCTCCAGAATTTTAGATTCTATTTCCGTTTGAATTTGGTCTGTTTACCGAGAATTCCTGAAATGCATTAGTGCAGATTGTTAGGTTCCGATTTCTTTCGCAGATGAATTATTTCCAAATTATCTGGATTTTACTATGAATCCAGTCCTAACATTATCTGCATACTTTTCACTTAATCCGAATTTTCTTGAACCGTTGACCCCATGATTGCAATTTATTTTCCTGACTTCCTACCTGAATAGAACATAGAAGTTCCGCAGGTATCCATCCCTGCCATTGTGACAGGATTTGACTGGCTTATGAATAATAATTATTTACAGCTCTCTCTGTAATGGTTACTGATTGTCTCTTTTGCTATTCATTCATTGTACGAAGTGCATAAATTATTTTATTTTGGGTTCTGTTTCCCAAAATGTTTGCATTATTGATCGGTTCATTTATTTTCTGTTAGACCTTTTACTTTAATATCATAGAAGAAAGAGTATTTCTAGGTTTTCGGTATCTTTTTAGACAATTAGCCGCCGTTTTAGTGAGGTCATCTGTAACAATTAGGCAACCGATCGTTGTGGGTAATAACAGCAGTAATCACCTTTAACAGACGACGACGTAATACCTCCTGAATACACTCTTTCCATCACATTTCAATTATACAAACCAACGGACCGATTAGGCCGTGGGAAATTAATCTTCCTCGACATATCCTGCGAATTTGGCATAAAATGGGTATACTTTTTCGAATTCTGCGGTGATATGGCTCTTTTATCTATGCTAAAGTGCGCTAACTGGTTCGGAACGACTAATATTGATGATTAGGGAATTTGGCTTGCTCATCTGATAAATTTTAAATTGAAACAAAGGTAACAAGGCCTTATTTATCGTTACAAAGCTTACGTATAGAGTTTTCTGTGGCCATTACCCTGCCCGAGACATACTTTAATGCATAGTGATTTGGAGCTTGGAGAGCTATGTGCTTAAATCATCATCAAGACCTTTTTAACCGTGTTTCGGGCATATCTATCTTGGACTAATAAGCCATGTTCCCCTTACTTTCACAATTAACAACTCTGTTCTTCGTTCTCTAATTTGCATAGTTCTGTTTACCAAATTATTTACTCTGTGCTACTTCCTAGTTATTTTAATCTGTAACGGTGGTTGGCATCCGGTAACTCAGTGGAAAGAGCAGAGATGAAATGTTTACGATCGTCAACAGAAGGATGTTCAACGAATAAAAATAATGAATTAATTAGTATGCATGATTGTAATTATGTCGAGGAGAGAGCGCTTCTGGTCCATAATAAGTGCACATTGGCTATTATCTCGAATTCATGCATGCATGCAGTTAGTAATTTATGCTGATAAGGCACGCGAAATGCATTGTCAATCAATGCAACGCAACCGGACCATAACTGGATCGCGATCATACAAGCGGTAAAACAGATTCCTGAAGCCTCACACAATTACATTGTCATTACTTGTTGCTGAAAGTTCGGTTATTCATTTTAATCACTGTTAGTCGGTTTGTAAATAGTGGAATCTGTTCCTTTTTTTCGTTTCTTTTTTGTTTTTGCTTGTCATCATTGAATCGTTCAGTTTCGGTAACAGTTTTCCCGACTTCATTGTTGTTGCCGATTGTAGACAATTGGATCAGACATAATTTGTCGCAAATTAAGGAAAAGATGCTTACTTCAGGCAATAAGTATCTTATGCAAAATGAGAAATAATGGGCGGTAAAAGCTAGTAAGATGTAAGATGACAGGAATATATCTTGATCAAACGAAAGTATACTCGTTTATCATTTATCAAGTTGTTTCATCATTGATCAGTGACTCACAAAGGATACTTTGGTATTATCTTTATTCCAATTTCAAAAGGAATTGAAGTTTTAATAATAAATATTTAACTAGTGTTCGATACTTTGGTAAGAAATCAATTCACATTTTTCTAGGCATTTCCTATCGACGAGTTTTTAATCACCTTGACCTTTTTTCCATCCACCGATATAATTGCTGATGATTTGATTACTGGCATTTAAATCTCTTGAGTATCCACACAATGTCAACTGTACTGTCTTGGATGGAGTGGTTCGAATGACCTCAGGTCATTCTCTCCCACTTCAATACCATAAATTATGTGTCACTCCCACCAATAATTCATGCCAGAAGTTTTTCTGGAAAGTTTGGCAGAGTTTCAGAGGAAATATTAGCGGATGGTGTGCTTAAAACTTGTTGACCAAAGGTTGCTGATGCTTTCTAGTACTACAATCATCGCTCATCATCACAATGTTGCCGCGATAGTGAAGTGATATTGCTATTTGGGGAGAGGGATGGAATGGGAAGGAAGGACGTTATCGCCGGAACATCACTCTTTTGCTGTCCGCCTCATTGGTCGTAAAGGATGGAAAGTCCCTGCAACATGTCGGCATATGAAATTCAGTTTCAAGAATTATGTGAAGTATCAGTCGTAATGTTTCTTTTTCTGGTGGGCCAAATATCAGAAGTAAAGGCTAGAATTTTTATTCACTTGCAATAATCATGGGAACTTTCACTACAAGGTTAACATATTTGTAAATTTTCAGCTTCATTCCATCGTTTCCATTGAATTTTCAATGATTGAACGGGAAAATCTCATTCGTGCAAGTGTAAGTCAACTTCAAGATTTCATGATTTCACTTCAATTTCACGTCAACTTCAGTCAACTTCATCATTTCAACTTCTCAACTTCAATTTCATCAACTTCATGTACAGAAAGTCCCGTGTATCAGTATAATTAATTATCGATCGATACCGGCTTTGAAGCTTGGAACATATCTATATAAAAACATGTTAAAGTAGTAAATGGAATTTGATATTCAGGCAAGCGGTAGTATTTAAATGGGTATCTATTACCGCTTGTTATTTAAAGTGTTTTTTATCAAAAATATGTTTACTACCACTTGCTCAGATATTAAATTCCATTTAATACTTTAGTATGTTGTTGTTTCAAGGATTAACGAAAGAAAAGTGGGAGAAGGTTGGAAATACTGAAGTAAAGGAAAATGACAGGAAAGGAAGTGTGAATTATTTTTGGTAATAAAAACTGAACAAAGGTGACGAATCAAATGAACAATTTGAAGACGGCCATGAAATTTCTTACGTTTCTGGTATCTTCAGCAACAATTACTTCTGTTAACGTGGGATCCATCGCTGGCGAAAAAGGAAATCCGTATAATTCCCCTGATGATATCCATGTAATCTTCGCTGATAAACTATACTCCAAAAGTGACATTGATCAATGCTGAAGATAACATGGATAAATAAGCAGTTATACCCATCCTTATTGAAAACAGAATTTTTACTGTACAGGAGTTATTCCGATGTTCATTTCTACAGTTATCCCCCGATTCGATGCATTTTTAGTATATTACCCGTCCTCAGTGATAACCTGAATTGAAAATCTTTCCCGAGAATGATCACGATTTCATCAAACTCACAAGTTTTTCTCATGAAACATTAAAACTGATTGTGGTGTTCAGTATTGGAAAGATATTTGTGTTTCCGTTCGTATGCTTATTTGTGTGCCACTTTTTTTGTTCACTTTTATTCCTCTCCCATTTCTTTTTTTAAAATTCATTTCTGTTAAAATGGACAACTAAAACTAGGATAAGAAAACACCTGGCCTTTTAGTATGAGAGCGGAATATTATGACGTACATTAACGGATATTTCAGGATGATAACATTTGATGTGATGAACAATCACTTGTTGTAACTTCTTGTTAATTAATTTTTAACTACACTTGATGGCCAAATAAGCTACCGAAAGGTCAAAACAGGCATTTTGAGAAAGGTATAAATTTTTGTCGAGACAAAAGATTCTTCATGGATTACTGCTTGCTAACCGTTTTCTGATCATTTCTTTTAGTCTAGAGGCTGCAGGTTCTTACTTGGTCCCAGAACAATAAATATTCCAAGTTGACAATCGAGCAGTAAACGTGGCAAGCTTTCGACTGCTCCGAAATAATCAAAATTATTGAATTCATGCAATCTTCCTAAGCTCTTATTCAGATGGATTTATCTTATAACCTTCGATTAACCGCTTCAGAAATTGCGCTATTGGCTTAGGATGTTTAGGCATGTTATTAAATGCATTCTCCGCTTGTCTGCGCTACTATGTCTTTTCACACTTTCACTTCTATTGGGTGAAATTTCTTGTTTGCAATCTCCATGTTCTTAATTGTCCCATTTATTTCTGACAACATTTCCAATTCATTCAAAAAGTTATTCCAGTTTTATTGAAATAAGTATGCCTTTTTTGCGGAGCTTTTGAAATTTAATTGTTTCCGTTCCGTTCGAATTTACATAAAGTTGGTGGATGGTATGTGAAAACTTTTTTTACTGATAAGATATAAACATTCTTTATTACAATACTCTGTGCACTCCACTGAGGCTTCGCAGGAATTCATTGCTCACATTTATTTTAGACTTTTAAATAGATTCCAATTACACATCTGTCAATGACTGTTTAATGAAGATAATTTGAAATAATTGTGATTTTCCGGAAGCACATTTTAACCGATGATGAATCTATGTGTTGCTAGGCGAGATATGAGGACTGAGAAGTACCGGCGAACTCGTATGGCATCAGTGAAAGCACGAGTGAATTTGAATCAACTTTTTTTAAAGGCGTGTTTCAATCACATGATATTAATACTATAATTAAGAGAAGAAGCCCATATTCTAGGATTAAATTTTCCCCGTGATTTGGGATATGGCTGAAATGAAGAATGAATGAAAGAATTTCGCAATGATTTACGAGTCCATTGTTGAGCTTTTTTCCTTTTTTTTTTCTTCCGTGCATCGTTCTCAATAATTCATTGTTTAGTTGTTTTGTTCAGGGATAGAAATGATTGGAGAGGGAAGGGATACAATGATCAGCTCGGGAAACTGATCACTTCTACCGCCCAACATGTGATGGTATTGAATCCATAGGAATTTTCAAGAAGTCTTTTTCAAAGGATTAGTTGTTCCAGATGTTCCGGATAAAGATGATTCGTTTCGCGGAAAGCCAAACAAATTTTCTCATCCATTCCTTTTTGACTGGATTTTTATGAGCAGGCGTTTGGCTTATCAGAAAGAATTGCTCATAATATTATAATGAAAGGATACTAGATTGGGATGGATTACGCATTGAAGACTAGACCGGTGGATTGTACGCCTCAGTTTTTTTTTACTTGGTTCTATCATCTTGGAATAGTGACTTTTTCGGCTTCCCATCGCTGATGATATTTTGATGGATGCTACACCGGTGATGACCAACTGATTTCAATCAATTGCAGCTATGTTTGAAAGTACTGGATCTCGTTACTCAGATCTCCTCCCGCCCACTCACCTATTTGGCGATGGGTATGCCGGAGTAACCAATACTTAAGCACTGGAAGAAGTACTCTAACCCCGCCCCGTCATTAAGAGTACACTTTAAGAACATTGTTCCTAATCTTTCTCTGTATATCGATGTATGTGTATATCTTCTTCCTTATAATGTCTGCTCCTTCCTGTTGATGCTATTTAGATGCTTTTTTTCTTTTCTCTGTGTCTTCCCGGTTAATCTGCCCGTGAAGTGGTAATTTGTGACACCTTAAGATGTTCCAACTGTTGATGGCTTCTAAATTAGTTGCCGAAAATTTGCGACATTCCACTTGGTATCATTGCATCACGTAAACGATGCTGTACGTGACGTCGGAATGTTGCATGTCAATGACAAGCTGAGGTTGTCGTTGATTCCACGACATGACCATTCCCGTCGACCAAAATCCATCTTTGTTTCTTGACTCTTCGTTTCTTTCTCTTTTGTCGCATGACCTTTCGTTCTCAGTTGTCTTGTTTCAACATTTAAAGAAGACTTCTTGAAGATAAAAAGAAGATATAAAGGTGTCTCAAGCGGATGCATACTTGTTCTTCCTCTTTTCAGTCCTCATTAACTCAGTTTATAGGATTCATTCACTCCCATTTCATTTTAGCTTGGTTTAGAATTCGCGATGTTTCTGTTGCCTTATCCGTTTGTTTCCTGCAAAAATCATATCTTGGTATATCATTTCTTACAGCATTTTAATTTTGCATACACAATCCATGATGGAGTAAGTACTTGGAGAAATTGCATTTTCGAACTTTTCCAAGACTGAATTTTGTGAATTTGGGACTGAATTTTGTTGAGGCGTCGAGGAAATACGATGGTGGTCAGTGATATTCGCAACACGCAATTCAGGGAGGAGGGAGAGCAACAAAAAGATATCGATGATCACTGATAGGATGTGACGTAACGGTTCTTTGCACTTTTGGTTCAGTGACGTCTGAAATTTTCAACAATTTACCCTTCCTTGTAGACTGTTAGATTTGATACTCTTGCAAAAAAACTTCTTTACTTCATTCCTTTCTCTTTTTTCATGCTGCACTTCTCTTCATACTTAATACGTTGACATTATTTGTGCAAGATGACTTTCTTAGTTACTTCCTTTAGTAGATTTGTTTTTCAGTTACAAAATTGAAATACACAACTTCTTTGAGAGAAATATTTCAGTCAGTTGTACTCTCTTTACCTTGTTTTGTGTAATTAAGGGAGGGATGAACGAAGTAAGAAGAGAAACCTTCGTTTTTTGGTAGTTTCACGGAGTTCTTTTTTGCATTTCATTATTTGTCCCTTGCAACTGTCTCTTTGATCTGTAAAGTCGTCTTCGTCGGTCATTCTTCATTTTCATTTTCGCAGAGACTTCTCTCCATCACTTTCAATACCGAGTGTTATTCAACCAATGAAGTGTGATTTGGTTGTAAATGTGAAATTAAAGGTTTTTTATTCCTCCACGGTATCATCATCACCATCGTCTGTAAGGCTAAGAAATGTGTCACTCATCGCTGTCTTTTTAAAGATTGCGGGAAAGTCCCATTGCAACATTAATTCGTTGAATTCATCTCTTTATCCTTCATTTATTGAGCCGTGAGATTTTTCATGAGAAGTTTGGAGTGCTGGAAACAAAGAAATGCTGTCAAAAGAAAGTCTGCATGTCACCTTCTCTTTGGTGGTGAAGATTTCGTTTTTCATGGCAGCAAATAGTAATGTAGGAAGCGGAACGAGCATTGACGGACGTGAAGTAGTAATGAAGGTCATCTGAAATCATTATTGCAAACAAAGTTATCTTTGCATGACTAATCATTCTTGGAGGCTTATCTTCATACAGATTGTCAACCATGCAGCACTCCGTTGCTTAGTGCTGTCACTCATTGTCTTTTCATTGTGCAGTTGTTGTTGTTTACACATTGTTACCAAACTTTCCTTGTTTACCCTTCCTCTTTGCAGGAACATTCAAGAAATGAAACTGATTTAATCCTAAAACTTGCGCTTCTCATTCTCACGGGTCCGGTGATAAGTCATATTTTTGGTTGTACATAAAGGTATACTGTGCGTGCATTTTTGTATATCTATGCATATACATGATGCTTTTATATAAGGACCCACCAGGCGGATAGTGAGTGGAAAGCACTTAGAGTTCACTGCATCGTGTCTTTCCTTGGTGCAGCAATAGTTTCTTGTCTGCGTTGTCTCCAACCCATGATCTTAGCATGTACGTCTTGTCAATCCCATCTTCTCCATCATCCCATCAACATTCGTTCACATCCTTCCCGCTTTCTCTTCCCTTTTACACCCTTTTCCATTCTACTCTGTACTTATTTTGTAAGAGAACGTTTCTTAGATTAAATCCTTTTGTTGCCTTAACATCACCTTATTTTAGTCTGTTATCTGATGAAATTACATAATTACTCTCATAAATTAATGTAGAAAGTGGATCTTGTTACTTAAATAATCGGAATCATGTTCCTGGTTTTATGGAGTCCTTCCAGGTCACTTTGCTCAGTGTACCCATTTTTAATCCAATAAAATCCACTTTCAAATTTTTTTATAGAACAGCTTGATGTTCTCCCGTCTTATGAGAAATCGAATTCTGTTGAAGGTCTTCCTTGTGAGATTCACACACACATAATATATATATATATATATATATATATATATATATATATACTACACACACAC